TGCCTCTCTAAAGAAACCCTTAAGAGGTGAGGGAGCTGCAGGGAAAATGGGGGCAGAGGAGGGATTCGGGGTCCTATAGACCGCAGATCCCTCCAGAAAGAGGACCTGTCACTGGCCTATTGCTGTCACAAGGGATGTTTACATTTCTTGTGACAGCAATAAAAGTGATCCATTTTTTGTTTTTTTTAAAGTGACAGTGTAAAAAATGTTTTTTAAATAGTGCCCCCCATCCCCCCATGCTTACACGCAAAGGCAAACGCACGCATGCAGACATGTGAGGTATCAGCGTGATAGTCAGATCATGGGCAGTAATGTCAGCCCCAGACCTCCTCTGGAAATATAAAGCGGTCACCTGTAAAGGCTTTTAAAGTGCCGCCTATGGATAGTAAAATGTACGCCATTCGTCGCGGTCGCACGGGCGGGCGCAATTTTAAAGCGTAATTCGGTTTGTTTCTATTTCCTCGGCGTAACGTCATCTTTTATATTCTACCCCAAAAAAAATGTTGGATTGCGTGTTGTGTTTTTCTGCATTAAAAGGGTATTTTTCCCCCCTAAAAATTGTGTTTGAAAAACCGCCGCCGCGCAAATATGGCGTGAGCTAAAAAATGTAAAACCCCCAATTTATTGTCTGGGATCTCTGCTTTAAAAATCTATCATGTCTGGGGGGTTCTAAGACATTTTGTAGGAAAAAAAAAAAAAATTGTGAAAAAAAAATGGTCATAAAATGTGTGTGTCATGTGGTGTGTGAGGATCGCAGTCTCCCATCAGATGAATGCAGGAATAGGAGGTGTGTGAGGAGAGAGATCAATAATCTTACCTGATCCATAAGAAATCTTCTTAGGACTGAAGACTAGACTGCAATCTGCATACAGCACAGTGTCACACTGTGACATCATCACTAAGGGACACTACCCTGGCCCCGCCCACTGCCCAGCCTTGGCTCCACCCACTGGCTCAGCCCACTGGCCTTGGCTCCGCCCACTGACCCGGCCTTGGCTCCGCCCACTGCTTGGCATTGGCTCAGCCCACTGCCTTGCCTTGCCTTGGCTCCGCCCACTTCCTTGCATTGGCTCTGCCCACTCACCAACCTTTTAATCAACAAAAGGAGGCTCCGCCCACTCCTGTGGAACTCCTTGGTTTATTCTGAGGGAGGAGTCCCGTCTTTGGACACGGCTTCTCCCCAATTGCAGACACACATTCCTGCAGGTGTCCTGTAACATGGAGATGATTGGGCGCTGCTGTCTGTGTGCTCCGCCCCAGACAGGAATTCTATTGGGATGTTATCTTTTACTTTCACAGCAGCCTATTGTTTTATGGAAATCGCTCTCCTTGACCACGCCCACAGTGAGAACATGCCCGCCCACCCTCCTATATTCCTAGTATGTATTTAAATTTCCCTCCCTGTCCCCGCCCCTCTAGTGCTGATCACAGTCACCTGATTTGGTCCGGGGCATGCTGGAGTGCTTGTCATGTGCAGTTGTCTCCATGGGTTACCTATTTTTGCCGCCTCCCCAGTCCTCCCTGTACAGTGATTGGCTGTCCTCGGCTTTGAGGTGATAGAACTGCGGGAGTCCTCGGGGTGTGCTGGGTCACCGCCTTCCCCCTGGGAGAGTCCCAGGTCTGGAGGGGGGATTGGGTCTGGGGTCTGTTTTTATTGGATGTTCAATCAGATTGTTTGTGGAGCCCCCCCCCTCCCCTTCTCTCTGATTTCCCGCCCTCACACCTCCTCCCCTCCCCCACAGGAACCATCATTCACACCACCCATCAAATTTTCTCATTTCAGTTTTTTACAAAATTTTAGCAAAAAAGAAAACAACTTTTTTTTTAAGACCCCCCCCCCCCCCCAGAGGTGACTAAATACCACCAAAAGAAAGCTCCATCTGTCTCAAAGAAAATGATAAAAATGTCAGTGTTGCATGATTGCGCAATGGTCATTCAAAGTGTGACAGCGCTGAAAGGTGAAAGTGGCCTGGGCAGGACGGGGGTGAAAGTGCCCTGTAGGCGAGGGGTTAAAGTGATACTAAACACACACTGTGTAACCCCTCCCCCTCCTGAGGATTCCCCCCCTTCCTGACCTGGCCATTTATTGCTCTGCATTACTTTAACTGACAATTGCGCGGTCATGCAACGCTGCACCCAAATGACATTTACGTGTTTTTTTCTCCTCTACAAATAGAGCTTTCTTTCGGTGGTATTTGATCTCCTGAGCAGTTTTTTTTAAATTTTTGCGCTATAAAAAGCGACAATTTTGAGAAAAAAAAAACAATATTTTGGACTTTTTGTTATTAAACATGTCCAGTAAAAAATTTACAAAATCGAATTTCGGCATAAATTTAGGTCAAAACTGCTTTACACTTGAGGGCGGGGCTCCCTGGATTGGCGTGTGCTGGGGGGCGTGGCTCCCTGGTTCGGCTCTCTGACTTAGTTGCGTGCTGTTGGCGGGGCCACAACACTCATTAGATTTGGGGGGCGGGGCTCTTTGGATTGGTGCTTGCTGGGGCGGGGCTCCCTGTTCTTATTTATGCTGGGGGGTGGGGCTCTGGATTGGGCGGGACTCTTGAGGCAATGGAGTCTGGCTGCAGAATGGAGCTCCACTCGGCAGGAAACATGTGACCTCCACTCCACCTCCAGTCTACAGCCAGATCCCTCTCTAGTTGAGTCTATATTATTATTATACAGGATTTATATAGCGCCAACAGTTTGCTCAGCACTGTACAATATAAGGAGACAACACAATTACAATACATTTCAGTACAGAAGGAATAGGAGGGCCCGGATCGTGGAGCTTACAATCTAAAGGAAGGGGGAGGTGGTACAAAAGGTGATAGATGCGGGGGGATGATCTGGTGGAGGTGATTCAAGTACAGTTCCTAGGTGGGGGTGGGGTAGGCTATAGGTTGTTTATGTTAAAGTTTATTGAATAAAAAAAAAAGTGGAGTGTCACATTTTTTTTCAAGTGGAGCTCCACTCTGCAGCCACACATTGATACAATAAAGTTCACTAAAACAAAGTTGGAGCGGAGGGACATGTTTTGCAGCCACACCCCCTTTTAAAAGGATATAGGTAACAGGAAACATGTGACCTCCACTTCCTGGAGTTGTGTGTATTGGTTGTTACATTAAAGTAAAAAAAAAAAAAAGGAGTGAAGGTCACATGTTTCCTGTTTAGTGGAGCTCCACTCTGCAGCCTCTATGTGTTTGTTACATTAAAGTTCACTAAAAAGAAAAAACAAAGGCAGAGTGGAGGTCACATGTTTCTTTTTGAAAATGGAGCTCCATTGTGCAGCCAGACCCTTCTCTTCTGAGGAGAGTCGGGTGCGCGGCCATTGGTGATGTGGGCGGGAGCTGCACACCTGGAAGAAGCGGCATCCAGTCAGCGCGAGGAGGAGGAGGAGCATCGACCTATCCACCACCATCATCTGAGTACTGGTCACAGCAGGTGAGTCAAAGACACTGTGTACTGATAGGACGGCATTGTAGGTAATGTCCTTCACACAGGGGCCGACTGACCATTTGGAAACTTGGACACTGCTTGAGGGCCCGGGGTCAGTAGGGGGCCCCATGAGATTCCCCTGGTACCTTTTTCATAGGCTTTTTTGAGTTTGGGCAAGGACACAGGGCCCCATGATCCCCTATTGCCCGGGGGCCCAATGAGTTGTCAGTCCGCCCCTGCCTCCACACCTCCTCCTCCTCGGACTCGGGGTGGGGGGGCTGATGTCAGTGTTCTTTTTTTTTTTTTTTTTTTTCTGACACTTTACCATCAGAATTTTTGCTAGAAAATGTCTTAGAACCCCCCAGAATAAATTGGGGGGGGGGTGGGGTTGCAATTTATGTGTGCAACCGTTTTTCAAACGCAATTTGTTTGGAAAAAAAATACACTTTTTTGAATCTTAATGCACAAAAGCACAATATGTGACCCAATTTTTATGGTAAAATCTAAAAGGATGATGTTATGCTGAGTAAATAGATACCTAACATGTCACGCTTTAAAATTGTGCACGCCGTGCAGCGCTGGAAAACCGCGTACGTCTTGAGAACGCCCCGATGGGAGGGGCGAAACGCGTTGACGCAATTCCAGTCTATTCGCCATAGGTCTGACGTCACTTCCGGTGAGTGGAGCGCACGCCGAGCGGTGCGTTCCAGCGGCCATTTTGTGGCATCTAGGCTGGTTCTCTGCTGTTCCTCTGCTCTATCTGGCTGCATTGGTGTGGGAATCCTGGATTATGTGGCTGCTTTTCATCATCGGGCTGTCATGGGCCTAATAAATGTGCCTTTTACAAGCTGTTGAAATTGGAGCAAACTAGGAAGCCACGGTGAGGACCTGAAGGAAGATCTTATCTTGGAGGGGCTATCATTGAGCTGATGAAAAGGGGGTTTAGGATTCCCCAAAATCCTGAAAGGCTTTTCACTCACCAAAATCTGGTGAGTGTATTTGATGTTGGTGTGCACGGGTGAGAGGTGGAAGGCTAGAAATATATTTGGAATCCTCAGTTTTCATCACAAGGGACTTTATGGTGTTTTTTTCCTGAAGATTTTTTCATATAAATATGTACTAATTAATATGGGACATTTATATTTTGTGATTTATTAATATTTGTATTTAGGTCTATTTTGCGCTGTTTATTTATATATTGTACGTTTTATTATCCATAGGTGATGCTTTAAAGGCTTTACAGGTGACCGCTTTAGATTTATACGGGAATTACTGCCCAGGACCTGACATTCCCAGGAATGCCTTAGTGCCCGTTCACATATATGTGGATTGGATGCGGCAATCTGCATGACGTGTGAAATAACATTGCTTCCTATGGTGCCTGTTCACATATGTCCGGTGCACGTCCCGCGCAGATTCATTGCGGTTTTAACCACGTCCCGCCCGCCATATAGTCCAATGACGGGCGCAAGGTGGTTCTCTCGTTCTGAGAGGACGTCATATGACGTCCTCCCATTCCCACCGTGCATGCGTGTCTCAGGGAGCGCAGCGAGCGGCGGTGCGTTGTGTTCCCTAGGACACAGCGGATCACCGATCACGGAAAGAGCCGAAGGTGTCAGCTCGGTCATGTGATCAGCTGTGTCCAATTACAGCTGATCACATGTAAACACGGAAATGCCGGTTATCGGAATTTCTCTCCTCTCGAGCTGTCACACTGACAGAGGAGAGGAGAGCCGGTAATCGGCTTTCCGTGGAGGGGACATGTACACAGATCATCAGGGCACTGATGATCAGTGTGCCCTGATGATCAGTGTAGCCCCATCAGTGCCACCTGTCAAAGTCAGTGCCAGCTGTCAGTGCCAGTGCCACGTGCCAGTGCCTATCAGTGCCACAAAATGCACATATCAGTGCACATCAATGCCACATATCAATGCCCATCTGAGCTGCCTTTCAGTGTCATCCATCAGTGCCAGTCAGTGCCACCTATCAGTGCTGCCAATCAGTGCCGCCTATCAGTGCCAGTCAGTGCCGCCTATCAGTGCCATGTATCAGTGCTGCCTTTCAGTGCCCATCAGTGATGCCTGTCACCCATCACCACCTACTAGTGCCTCCTCATCAGTGCCCATCAGTGCAGCCTATCAGTGCCCATCACTGCAGCCTCATTAGCGCACATCAGTGAAGGAGAAAAATCACTTATTTACAAAATTTTATAACAAAAACTAAGAAAAAACTTTTTTTTTTCACAATTTTCAGTGGTTTTTGGTTTGTTTAAGAAAAAATAAAAAACCCCGAGGTGATTAAATACCACCAAAAGAAAGCTCTATCTGTCACAAAAAAATGATAAAAATTTCATATGGGTACAGTGTTGCATGACCGCGCAATTTCAAAGTGCGACAGCGCTGAAAGCTGGAAATTGGCTTGGGCAGGAAGGGGGATAAGTGCCCGGTGGGCGAGGGGTTAAAAAGAGTCATGTCTGATTTCTGAGCAGCGACTTCAGGTTCAGGTGCGGATTACAGGCTATTGAGCGTTCCTAAACCACATATGTGTGACCAGGACAAGATCCTGAGCTAGTCCTGTCCTGAACCTGATGTAAACCTGACGTGAACACCTACTGTATCAATTAGCTGTGAAACCTGAGCTTCAATCCGCCCCACACATGTGTGAATCAGCTCTTACATGTGTCGGGCAATCGCTGTTACCACACATGTGGGACCGATGTGTACGTTCGCCTTTGCGTGGGGGAGGGGCACTTTAATTTTTTACTATTTATTATTAAATTGTTTTTTTTTTTTACTCTTGCTTTATTTATTTTTTATTGCTTTTTTTGTGCCATAAGGAATGTAAACATCCCTTGTGACAGCAATAGGCCTGTGACAGGTCCTCTTTGAGGAAGGATCTGGAGTCAATAAGACCCCAGATCCCTCCTCTGCACTTAAAAGCATTCAAAACACCAAGATCGCTCTCATTGAATGCTTTTACTTTTTTGAAAATGGTGCCGTTTACATCCCGGGGAAAACCGGAAGTGATGTGAGGTCATCGCTTCTGGGTTACCATAGGGGAGGCCCTATCAAAGCCAAATCTGGACGTGCCAGCTGGTAGCTTGGGTCTCCCAGTGGGACGGGAGAGCCTGAGGAAGGCAGTGGGTGGGGGGGGGGAACATCCACTCCTACTGCTTGTAATAGCGATCATGCAGCTAGTTAGCCACTCTGATTGCTATTACAAGAGAGCCTTCTCGGGAGAGCCCAGTAAAGGTGGCTGCAGGAATGATCACATCTCTGTACAGGTGTAGGGATCAGATTTGTAGTTCTTATAGATACCCATGGTCACCATCTCTGTACAGGTGTAGGGATCAGATTTGTAGATCTTATAGATACCCATGGTCACCATCTCTGTACAGGTGTAGGGATCAGATTTGTTTTTTCTTATAGATACCCATGGTCACCATCTCTGTACAGGTGTAGGGATCAGATTTGAACTCTTAAAGATATACTTGATCACCATCTCTGTGGGTAGGGATCAGATATTTAGCTCCTAGGTGTCCGGGGTTTCAGCCATCTCGTGTACAGGTGTAACAATCAAAGTATGAAGCCTTAGCATATATCACTGAACCAGCAGAAATAAATGGGTGTATCAGATTATTTAGTACATTGTCTGGGGATTTGTTTCAGCCAATCTCATGGGATCAGATTTGTAGATCTTAACAAAAGTGTATGAATCTTATAGCCAGCAGAAGGGATCTGAACCAGCAGCAATGTTTGGTTGATGGGTAGGGATCAGATATTTAGCTCCTAGGTGTCGGGGGTTTCAGCCAATCTCGTGCTCAGACAAAACAACAAAGTTTACCAGCATGTGAACGCAGAAATAAATGCTGCTGGCGGGTACATGGCTGATGATGCCGAGGCCAGGAGAAGGCTTTAGCGGAGGTGACAGAGTAACTACTTCCCTCCCAGACCAATTCTGACATTTCTCTCCTACATGTAAATATGATTTTTTTTGCTAGAAAATGACTCAGAACCCCCAAACATATGATATACATATATATACATGGTTTGTGGACTCTAAAACTTTCCTACAGACTAAATAATATACACTAATTTGGGGTATTGAATTTTTCAGGTTTTTTTTTTGTTTATTTAGCAAAAAATAAAATACCCAGTGTGATTAAATACCACCAAAAGACAGCTCTATTTGTGTGAGAAAAATGATAAAAAAATTTTTTTATGGGTACAGTGTTGCATGACCGTTCAATTGTCATTCAAAGTACTCCAGCGCTGAAAGCTGAAAATTGGCCTGGGCAGGAAGGGGGTAAAAGGGTATTGAAGTGGTTAAGAACCATTAGGTGGGGGAGTTGTCAGACGGCGGGAACCTTCGTCGGTTACACATATTTATTTATTTTTTTGTTTGTTTTTTTGGGGGGTCAGAGGCCAGCGTTCATCATCATTGACATTGGATCTGCTTCAGGGGACTTTTTTTTTTTTTTTTTGGCGGGGGGTGTTTAATAAAGGACTTGTCAAAAACTGATGTTTTTATCTCATTCTTTACACTTTTTTTGGTGAATGAGTAGGGACACCATGTACCCCAACCTGATTCATTTGGGGGGGCCAGGATCTCGGGGCTCTCGTGTTAAAGGGGCTTCCAGATTCTGTTAAGCCCTCTGCCCACAGACCCTCCACAATCACTGCCCAGGGTTGTGGGGAAAAGGTTCTTGTCCCCATCAACATGGGGACAAGGTGCTTTGGGTGGAAGTCCCCTCCCATCCCAAAGTAACCCTTTCATGTTAAGGGCATATGGCCTAGTATGGTTCAGGAGGGGTGGGCGTTCTCTCGCCCCCTACCCCCTTTCTTAACCTGCCAGGCTGCATGCTCGGATAAAAGGCTGGTATGGATTTGAGGGGGGATACGCCTCTTTATAATTTTGTTTTTATTTTTTATTATGGCATAGGGTTCCTCTTAAAATCCATACCAGACCCTTCTCTGAGCATGCAGCCCAGTAGGTCAGGAAATGGGGGGGTGAACAAGCACCCCCCCATTCCTGAACCATACCAAGCCACATGCGCTCAACATGGTGGGGTATGTGGCTTGGTATGGTTCAGGAATGGGGGTAGGGGAGCTTTCCCCCCCAAAGCACCTTGTCCCTATGTTGATGTGGACAAGGGCCACTTCCCCATAACCCTGGGCGGGAGTTGTGGGGGGCTGTGGTTGAGGGGGCTTACAGTGAAGGAAATAAGTATTTGATACCCTGCTGATTTTGAATGTTTGCCCACTCCAAACTAAGGTTTGGTGGCTGACGTTTGGCAACTCGAGCTTTCAGCTCCCTCCACAGATTTTCAATCGGATTAAGGTCTGGAGACTGGCTAGGCCACTCCAGGACCTTAATGTGCTTCTTCTTGAGCCACTCCTTTGTTGCCTTGGCCGTGTGTTTTGGGTCATTGTCATGCTGGAACACCCATCCACGACCCATTTTCAATGCCCTGGCTGAGGGAAGAAGGTTCTCACCCAAGATTTGACGGTACTTTGCCCTGTCCATCATCCTTTTGATGCGTTGCAGTGTCCTGTCCCCTTAGCAGAAAAACACCCCCAATGCAGAATGTTTCCACCACCATGTCTGACAGTTGGGATGGTGTTCTTGGGGTCATAGGCAGCATTCCTCCTCCTCCAAACACGGCGAGTTGAGTTGATGCCAAAGAGCTCGATTTTGGTCTCATCTGACCACAACACTTTAAACCAGTCCTCCTCTGCATCATTCAGATGTTCAGTAGCAAACTTCAGACGGCCTGGACATGTGCTTTTTTGAGCAGAGGGACTTTGTGGGCACTGCAGGAATTCAATCCTTGTCTGCATAGTGTGTTACCAATTGTTTTCTTGGTGACTGTGGTCCCAGCTGCCTGGAGATCATTGACAAGAACCTCACGTGTAGTTCTGGGATGATTCCTCACTGTTATGATCATTCTCACTCCACGAGGTGAGATCTTGCATGGTGCAATAGACCTAGGGAGACTGACCGTTGTTTTGTGTTTCTTCCATTTGTGAATGATTGCACCAACTGTTGTCACCTTCTCACCAAGCTGCTTGGCGATAGTTTTGTAGCCCAGCCCAGCCTTGTGTAGGTCTACAATCTTGTCCCTGACATCCTTGGACAACTCTTTGGTCTTTGCCATGGTGGAGAGTTTGGAATCTGATTGTTTGATTGCTTCTGTGGACAGGTGTCTTTTATACAGGTAACAACATGAGATTAGCAGCACTCCCTTTAAGAGACTGCTTCTACTCTCAGCTTGTTACCTGTAAGAAAGACACCTTGTAGCCAGAAATCATGCTGAATGATAGGTCATCATTTGTTTGTGAGTGGGCAAACGTTCGAAATCAGCAGGGGATCAAATACTTATTTCGTTCACTGTATCTCGGTCCTGGATTGGACAACTTTGGATCTACTTGTGCAACCTACACTAATGCTGCAGCGGCCTTGCTTCCTCTATCAGAAGGAACAGATCCAGACCTGAGCGTTCAGATCCGCGAGGGAGGGAAGTAAGACTAGTGGCCTGATTTTGCACCATACCTATTAGGATGTTGAATTCGGGTCCAGTGGAGTAAATTGGCAGATTTGCTTCTACATGATGCTAAATCCAAATTACGGAGGCTTTGCCAGTTGTTCTATGAACATGGCAATAAGCCAGGGTACTTTCTCTCCAAAGCTACATTCCCTTTATTGAAAAGGGGCAGGGACAGCGTGGTTATTCCTTGACCGAAATTACAGAGGCTTTCCGCTCTTATTATTCGAAGCTCTATAATTTGCATGCTCCACTGACACCTGAACAACTCGACACCCGACGGGGGCAGATTGGGGAGTATTTAGCTGCTTCGGGACTTCCTACGATCTCTTTGGAGGCCGTCGGAAAGTGCTCCAATTTCGCCCGATGAGTTCTTTGGCGCAATTAGGTTGCTTAAACCTCAGAAAGCCCCGGGACCCCATAGTATTACAGGGGCGTATTATAGAGCGTTTGCTCCTATTTTGGCACCTAGATTTGTGGCGGCCCTTAATTGTCTTCTTGAGGGCTA